TCGCCTGCCAGGGCAAACCCCCAGCATGCATGATCTGGCGGTCGCGGCCCCTTGTCGGCGAGCTCTGGGAGTTGCATGCCGAGATTCACGCATTCCTGGATCGTTTCCACATGGAGGTCCCAGGACTGATCTGGACCAAAAGCTGCTAGATCTGGCATCGGCTGCGCTGGCACCCGTGCCGTGGCCTGCTCAGGTGTTATTCGGAGGGCTCCGATTATGCCATCGTGCAGGGCCGCCCATCGGCCTCCCATGTCCCCTCTGAGGGACATCAGTCCACCCAGTTGCTCGGAGACGCTGCAATCGTCAATGACTATATGAGTCCATGGCCACGTAAACGACGATCAAAAACGGGTCTTGCGAGAGATGGCACAGCGACCTCACACGTTGGCCTACGCGGGCCACCAGCTCGGCACGCCACGCTGGAAGCGAGGGCGTTTCCGCGGGAACTTGCGCCGACTCCTGGGGGGCAGCTGGCCAGCGCCGAGCCCTCGCCCCCAGGGCGTGCCTCCTGGGGACAGCCGGCTCGCGCCACGCCGTCCTCACCAGGGGCCGAGGTTGCCGAGATTGACGAGGCCGTGCCCGTGCCGGCGCCTCGTCCTGCGCTCCGCAGGGCCCTCCCGTCACTGGCGTCGCGTCGCAGGGGCCGACGTCGAGACTGCGCCGCCTTCGCAGCCCCTCGGTATCGCTCGGACGTCCATTTCCCGTGCATTTTTCGGTTTCGTGCGTGTTTTTTTTTGGCTCGATGGTCCAGGATGGTCCTCGATGGTCCTCGCCGAGAAAAAATGCACACGTCCGAGCGATGCCAGGGCCCACAGGTGGGAGCATCGGCCACCCCTCCGCCGAGGGTCGCACGGTGCTGGCCTCCGGTGCCTCGGGCGTCGGCCGCGCGTGCGCCCGCGGCCGAGGGCCTCTGGAGTCTGGAGCTGCGCGCCGCTGGTCGCCGACATTGGCGCACTCTGGACTCCTCCTCCTCCTCCTCCTTCTGCTCCTCCTCCTCCTCCTCCTGGACTCTGTTGGACTCTGGACTCCTCCTCCTCCTCCTCCTCCTCCTCCTCCTCCTCCTCCTCCTCCTCCTGGACTCTGGACTCCTCCTCCTCCTCCTGGAAACGCCGACTCCTCCTCTTGGACTCTGTTGGAGCCGCCTGCCGGCGAGTGTGCCCAGGGATGGTGGGCGTCGCCTTGACCGCAGCGGCGACGCTGCCATCGCAACCCAACGTGGGAGCGTCGGCCACCCCTCCGTCGAGGGTCCCACCCCTCCCTCGGGCGTCGACCACCCGCACGTGACGCCGAGGCACTCCTCCTCCTCCTCCTCCTCCTCCTCCTCCTCCTCCTCCTCCTCCTCGGCCTCGTCCTCGTCCTCGTCCTCGTCCTCGTCCTCGTCCTCGTCCTCCTCGTCGCCACTCCAGTCCCATCTTGCTGCCCCTCCCCATCCTGGTCGTCCTGCTGCCGCTGCTGCTCCTCATCCTGCTGCTGCTCCTCCTCCTCATGCTTCCCCTCCTCCTCGCATCCTCCTCCTCCTCCTCCTTCTCTTCCTCCTAGCCCCCCTGCTCCTCACCCTCCTCATCCTCATCATCCTCCAGGGTTCTCCTTTGCCCCTCCCCCAGCTCTTCCTCCTCCTCATCCTCCTCCTCCTCTCCTCCTCCTACTCCTCCTCCTCCTCCTCCTCCTCCTCCTCATGCTCCTCGTTCTCCTTCTCCTCTCCCACTCCTCCTCCTCTTCCTCCTCCTCCCCCTCGTGAGTCTTGCTCCTCCTCGCACGCACCCCGTCCTCGACCTCTGCCGCCGCATGCTCCCTCGCCTCTTCCCGATCCTCCACGCCACCTTCCCTCTCGTGGCGAACTCTGCGAGGTGGGGATTGATCTATATCCTGGAGGCCTCCTAGATGGGGTCCAAGTAGATGGGGTCGGAGGATCGCAATGCATCGCCGATGCATCGGCGATGCATCGCCAATGCATTGGCGCCGCACCGGCGACGTCGGCGATGCATTGGCGCCGTCAGCGTGGAGGAAATCGAGCTCCGCATCGAGCCGCATCGCCAGTGCATCGGCGAAGCGGCGCGATCCTTCGACTCCATTTATTCGGACCCCATCTGGGAGGCATAGCTTGATCCATATCACATCAACTGCCTGCCTCGGAACGTCGGAGTGGCTCTTCTTTACCACAGCGTGGATCGTCCGCCCTTTGAGGTGATCGCGGCTTTGCGATGGCGCGAATCGTGCGAATCGTCAGCTAGTCAGGGCCAGCGGCGGAATTCCACCCAGAACGCCCGCGCAAAAGTCGCCACCGCATGACTGAGGGGGGAACCTACCGCACTCCCGGCTCAGGATCCGCCGAGCGGATCTCGGCGTGCGCCGAAGAGGCGGAGGAGGAGGTGGAGGAGGAGGACAAGGAGGAAGACGAGGAGGAGGGGGAGGAGGGAGGAGGAGGAGGAGGAGGAGGAGGAGGAGGAGGAGGAGGAGGAGGAAAAGGAGGAGGAGGAGGAGGAGGAGGAGGAGGAGGAGGAGGAGGGGGAGGAGGAAGGGAGGAGGAGGAGGAGGAGGAGGAGGAGGAGGAGGAGGAGGAGGACGAGGGGGAGGAGGATGAGGAGGAGGAAGGGGAAGAGGAGGAGGAGGAGGACGAGGAGGAGGAGGAGGAGGAGGAGGAGGAGAGGGAGGACCGAGGAGGAGGAGGAGGAGGACCCATGGCCCCAAGCGTGCGCGCGGACAAGGGCCGCATGGAGCGACAAGGAAGGGATCGTGACGCCGTGGCATCTGGCAAATGTCGTAGCCCCGGCCATGAGATCCACATACACACACAATCACACACCTCCCTCTCTCACACAAAACTCACCCCCAACGACACTGCGACACGAAGAGTCCAACCGTCATGCCCTCGAGAGGTGCAAAAAAGAGGACAAGGGCGCAGGCTATACATATACATATATATAGAGAGAGAGAGAGAGAGAGAGAGAAAGAGAAAGAGAAAGAGAGAGAGAGAGAGAGAAAGAGAGAGAGAGAGAGAGAGAAAGAGAAATAGAGAGAGAGAGAGAGAGACGGGGGAAGGGATGAGCGGAAGGGAACTGGTAGGGAGGGCAACCCACCCACCCACGGAAAGATAACACAGGGGGCGAACCCGAGGCAGGCCTCCCCGTGGGAGGGGGCGAGCCGAGGCCCACCCCACCCAGGAGAGGCCAGAAACTGAAGGGGCCCCAGGACACACAAATAAATACACACACATAAAAAGATTCCCCACATTTTCCAATATGTTCTGGGTTTTTGTCTTCCCGCCCAATTCCCATATTTTCCCATATTTTCCTGGCGCTCGACGATTTATTGTGTCTGTGTGTTTCTTTCCCTCCTGAGAAACATGCACCCAAGATCGGCGGTGGACAAACCTTCCTTTGGTAAAACTCCCCTTCATGAAAACGGCCTGGGACCGAAACCGACGGACCTGGACCCGCAAACACGACGGCCGCGACGCCCCCCCCGCGAATCGAAAACGGCCAATTCCTCAATCGACGTGTCAGGGTAGGAGGTCTATCCACCCACGAGAGGTGCCAGGAGCATCAGCCAGAAGACGCAAAGACGCCTCCCCGCCGTCTCCCTCGACGCCCCCGGCACTCCCGCCCCCCGCTCTCAACTTCGCGTTTCGCGCTGCGCGAAGCGCGAAGTGCGAATACTTCGCGCTCTCGCGCCGCCTCCCAGGGGCGACGAGGAGGGTGAGGAGGCATCGGAGCCGAGGCGCGGATCGCGAATCACTTCGCGCCCTCGAGGGCGCCCTTGCAGCCAGAAGACGCCACGACGCCACCCCGCCATCGACGCCCCGACGCCTCCCCTTCCCCCTCCCCCTCCCCCCCCCTCCCCCTCCCCCTCCCCCTCCCCCTCCTCCTCCCCTCCTCCTCCTCCCCCTCCTCCTCCTCCCTCCTCCTCCTCCTCTCCTCCTCCTCCTCCTCCTCCTCCTCCTCCTCCTCCTCCTCCCCCCTCCCCCTCGACGCCCCCGGCACTCCCGCCCCCCCATGCCGCCAGGGGCCCCCAAACCCCCGAGCGCTCGGGCCCCCCGCGAGGGACGTGCGCGGGCCGTGGGGCGGCCGCTCGCCGGCCGGCGGCCTCTCCCTCCTTTGGCGCGCCCTGCGCCTGCGCGGCTCGTCCTGCTCACCCCCACGCTGAAGTCGGGCGCGTCCCCCCAAAGGGGGGGACTCTCGACGAAGAAGGAAAAAGTACCAGAAAAGTGCTCCAAAGTAGTCCCCAGACTATTTTTGGACTCTTCTTGAATATATATATTCCCCCTGTGGAGGGACAGGCCAGACTCAGCCCCACGCTCTCCACTCTCTGGCTTCTCCTGGCGCTCGGCTTATCACCCACTGCCCCTCGACCCACGAAGGCCCCATCTGTGGGGGCTCTCAGCGCTGTTCGAACCGTGCCCACAGCCGCACCCGCTGAAGGGGTCTGGACGAGCACGCGCGATGCACCTTCGCTGCCTCATGCAACGGTCCGTTTGGCGGAATCTCCACCGTCGTCGTCAAATCCCCCCAAAACGTAGCTCCTTCCCGTTGCAAGGAAGAATGCCGACGAGAGGAATTAGAGAAAGAACTGACGGGGGATGGGAAAGCGCCGAGGGATTAGCATCGCAGGGAAGGCGAAGAGGAACTAAGGTGAGGAACGGAAGGAGGGAGAAGGCGAAGAGAGAGTAACGTTGCAGGGAAGGGCAATCGAGTGGAGAAAAGAAAGACGGGAGCTGATACATAACTCGCGCAAGAGAGCAATGAAGTGGTCCAGGGCGTGCGCTGTCGCTTCTCGCTGATTGGGGCAAGCAGCGCAAGGCGGTCGTGGCATCACTGATTATGTCGACGGCACCTCCGCCGTGCAAATAATCCCTTGTGATTTGCCCGCAGACTGTGAAGCCAGAAATCCTGCACTGTTAATGCAACGAGCAGTCATCACGTGCTGTATAACCCTGGCTAGCTCTCTTACGCTACCGATCTGCTCCTCAAATGAGGGTGTGTGGGTACCCTTCGTCGCGTCGCCTGGTAGCCCATGTTGTGAAGCATCATGATACAACGCGAATTCTTATATGTGTTGTGCCGCCGGTACTTGTACGTCAGGTAGACTGGAACCTCACAGAACGCGTATTTTTCAAGATCTGCGAATATTCCTACAAGACCACTCATCTGCCGCCGTCCTCCTCTTCCCGTGATCCCTGCTCTTGCCGTTCTGGTGAATCCCACCTCCCTCAATCCACTCTGGATCAGTATCCTCACCATTTGCCCCTGTCGACATCGATGGCCAGTGGGTAACTATCTCCGCTGCCATCCAAACCCAAGACAGTGGCAATCTCAAAGCACATGTAGCTGCAGACCACAGAGGCCCGTCCACGCTGCAGTAGCGAGAGCAACGTAGACGTAGCTGACTGTTGGTCAAGCAGGCGCTGCCCTCCTTCCCTGACCTCCGGCCCAGACTGCTCAGAACTCCGCCTTGGCGACTCCGCCTCACGACGTGGGTCCGATCGGAGCTGGGCGAATGGAGATAACGGCAGCTTAGCATCGGCCCCTAAGAAGGAAACATAACAAGAAAAAAACGAAGGAGAAGAGGAGGATGAGGGGAGGAGTAGGAGGAGGAGGGAAGGAGGAGGAGGAGGAGGAGCATGAGGAGGGGGGGGGGAGGAGGAGGAGGAGGAGGAGGAGGAGGAGAGGAGGAGGAGGAGGAGGAGGAGGAGGAGGAGGAGGCTGGACCCCACCGGGCAGTGCGCGCGCGCAAACCCCCCACGCTGTGTCCGGCCGTGGCGACGGCCGCCCCGCAGAAGCCCAACCACAGCTGTCTCAGCTCGCCCTCCGTTTACTCGTTCTCGTCGTCGTCCTCCTCCTCCTCCTCCTCCTCCTCCTCCTCCTCCTCCTCGAGAACGAACAAAAGCTTCCCGCCGCAGTAATCTTCTCACGACGCGAGGATGTCAGATGCCAGTCGGCGGCGCGCCGAGGGGAGAAGCGAGAGGGCAGCCCCTCTCAGAAGGCGGCGGGGCTTCTCAGAAGCCCCCCCGCCTTCTGAGAAGCCGCCCCCGTCTTTGGGGAAACCAAGAGGTACAGAAACCGCTTCAAACACTCGGATTCCTCGGATTTCTCGGATCGCGGCTGGATTTCTCGGATCGCTGCTGGACCCCCCTTCCTGGCGCGCAAGGCGCGCCAGGGGCGGCGCCGAAGGCGGACCTCCGAGTATCTGATGTTTATGTAATTGTTCGTTCCCCTAGCTTCTCCCCGGACCTCTTCTGGGGTGCGTTCCGCTTGGCGCCTCGAGGCGACTCCAGCGGTGGCGACGAGGGCCTCCCGGGAGGCCCCCAGGGAGGCCCCAAACGAGGGAAGGGTAGCGGCACGGGTGCGCACCTCTGCCTCCCCCAAGGAGTGGGCGCAAGCTTCCAGGGTCCCTCCCTCCCTCCCTCCCTCTTCCTCCTTCTCCTCGTCCTCCTCCTCCTCCTCCTCCTCTCTTCCTCCTCCTCCTCCTCCTCCTCCTCCTCCTCCCCCTCCTCGCCCCCCACACGTTCCCCGCGCCACATCGCTCCCCAGGTGATGGTAGATGGTGCCGCGCCTGGAAGGGCCACTCCCTCCTTTCCGGCTGCCCTCGCTGGGCCCGACGTTCGGGGAGCCCGGGGACAGAGATACGGAGCACCCGACCCCGCTCGGACCGCCGAAGACCATACCGCCTCATCATCCCGCTCCCCCGTGTCTTCCGCCTCGCTCGCCTCCTGCTCCTTCCTCCTCCTGCTCCTGGCCACCGCTCCCGACCCCCGCCCGCCCGGACCTGCGGCTCGCAACGCTCCGTGCTGCACACCGCCGTGCGCGAGCAGCCCCGGGAGTGCCACCCACCCCGAGCGGCCGAGGCGGGCACGAGCCCTGCCTGCCAGTCGTTCGCGAAGAAGACCACGTCCTGGCCGTAGACGGAGCCGTTCAGGTTCAGGATGAGGGGGGCCTCGTGCGGCACGGGAGGGGAGCGGGGGAGAGGGAGCATGAGAGGCTTACGTCAGTACTCATTTCCCGAAGACGTCGTTCGATGCATCGTGAATCGATGCGGCGATGCTACGCCCCCAAAGAAAACTGGTGCATCGCGTCTCTGGCGTTCCAGCAGGGGCCCGACATCAAGCATGGTCCCAAGCGGGCACCGAAACGCTCCCAACACTGCCCCGATGGGGCCCCAAGCAACCCCCGAAGGCCACAACACCGTTTGTGGTCTGGTGCCTCCAATTCGATGCCCTTCCCTTCGCGTGAACTATTTCTGTATAATGGTTCCTGAATGGCCCTGCCACCACTCTTTCAGGAATCGAGGAAGGTTGTCATCGAGTCGAAAATCGGCCCCTGCCATCCCTTCCACGCCGGGGGTGAGAGGCGGAAGGTCCCGCGGGGTGGCCCCGAGGTGGTACCGAAGGGGCTCCTGGTGGTTGTGGCCCCACCCCAAGACCCCACCCTGGGGGAAACACCCCTCTCTTGCACAAAAATGGCCCGTGTGATTTCTGACCAGCCGTCAGGCCGTAAAGCCTTCTGACCCCGTTGACGTTTTTCTGACCAGCCGTATGAGAAACAATTCCTGAACGGGCCTGCCATATATGAGGAATGCCAAGACCTGCCGTACGATTCTGGACTACACACAATCTGGGCGACGATACCACTTATGACTCCAATGCTCCAATGCCTCCACCTTTACGCCTTCTCTCGTTTTCTTTTGTTTGTGTCTCTTCTCTCTCTCTCTCTATCTCTCTCCCAGCTGCGCCGGGCGCCAGTGTTTCGCACCAGCGATCCGAATCACTGCCCTCCCATCTAGTAAAATGTGAAGATTTGGCGATTGTGGCAAGGCCGACAACTGTTAGTCTTTACTTACGTATTCCCCTGACAGACTTGCGAACCTTCTGAGAAGGCCTTCTCCTTCTCACTTCCCCCCCTCGCTCGCCGGCGAGTTAAGGGACGGGGCCAACTTAACCCCTAAAGGTCTTGAGAACCCCCACCCCCACATTGGAAACTAATTCTCATTTCGACGCCCTTATTGAAGTACTGGGGTCCCACCAATAACGGGAAAGTAGTTGTTCACTCGCGGCACCCGCCGCGCAACAACAACGACATCGACGACGACTACGAGTACGAACAGAAGGATGAGAAGCAGGAGGAGGAGGAGAGGCGCAATTCATTCCCCGCCAAGATAAACGAGGGGGGGCGGTAGAGGTTCATCCTGCTGGATCAGGCCCCCTGCGCGTGGCCTTGAGGCCGCGCCCGACCAAGACCCAGCCGCAACCGGCCCTGCTGCCCAACAGTTGGCGGAGGAGATGGCCACGGCAGGTCAGGGCCGCCATGAAGACAGCGTTGGCTTCTGCTACAGCCCAGACCTAGAACACAAGAACATCCTTCAAGAACACGAGACCCTCCGCCGGCCAAACTGAAGACCATTCGAGGGTAACACTGAAAGGTCTTGAGAACTCTCCCAATAGGGGTGACTAATGATTTGTGTCGGATTTGTTTCCGCGGCACCCGCCGCGCAACAACGACGACGACAACTACGCCTACGATTGCGACTACGACTACGACGACTACTACTACTACTAATTATGCCTCAGGCTCGCTCTCACGGTAGGAGGAGGAGGAGGTTTTGGGACCGGTCCGATTCACCGTCGAGAGGAAAGGGGGGGCGGGACCAAAACTAAAAACCTTTAGCGGTTACCTTCCGCCAGGATGCACAAGGACGCACAACAAACACGAAGAACATCAGGGCACCCTCCCCGAACCGACCGCGATACCGCGCGCAATGATTCAGCAACGTACTGGAACAAGATGTTTGGACCGGGACCGACCGACCCAGCATTCTTATGGGCCTCACCACCACCTGTTCTTAGAACCCACGTACGTTCTAAGAGCACAAAGCCTTGTTCTTAGAATGTGAACCCGACGCGTTGAACCAAGACGGTCTCAGCCAGACATGCTCTAATAACATTTCTTGCAAACCACAAACAAACGTTTGGAACATGATCTGGTAGGGTCAGGTCGGGCATGCCCTCCTCCAGGCGGATACTCGAAGAGGAATGTGATGTGGCCAGCAAAAACCAGAGGTAGACAAACGTAGTCGAAACATCGCCCCCCTCCTATTTTCGACTGTTTTGGAATTTCCCTCCTGTGGAGGGGCATGCCCGACTTCACTGTCTGCCCACGGGCCAGCCAGGGCGCCTCGCGACGGCCCGTGCGGCAGGCTCCCGCGCAGTGCTCGGGCCACCAGAAGGGGCCCCCTCTCTGGGCCCCGGGACAGCCAATGGGCACAGCTCGGTGTGAAGAACCGGGCCCGGGGAAAGGGTCAACCCTTGGGACTACCCTTATGTCGGGTGTGTCCCCTACAAGAGGATGGCCGACGAAAAATAAAACATACCCCAACAATGCCCCCCCAAAGGTACAACAATACCCCAAAAAAGTCCCCAGACTATTGTTGGACAATGTTTTGATTATTTTGGGGGTATTTTTGGTTTTTCGTCGAAAATCCCCCTGTAGGGGGACATGCCGGACCTAAGACTACCGGGTCAGGACTTCCGGGGACCGCGTATTGAACTACTGGGATAAGAGCCCGAGGGGATACAGTCGACCCGCAGAGTAAGGATGGGCATCCTTATCGCGCATCCTTGCTCTCCGGGTTGGCTGTAGGGGGGCTCTCAGTGGGCGCCCCAGTGGTTGTGCCTGGCCCAGCCTCTCTCATCGGGGATGGGCGGAGCCCCCTGTCGCAGAACGCGGTGCAGTGAAAACGACCTCGGGCCCAAACCTGGCTGGCTGGCGCAAGCCTGGAAAATGACGGCCGCGGCGCCCTCTCGAGAACCGAAAACGGACAATCCACTAGTACATCGACTTGTCAGGGTGGGGGTTTTGTTTCGCCAAGTGGCTTGGGGAAGTAGACAAATCCGGTAAGTGGGCAAAGCCTACTCAGCCTGGATCGCCATCCCCCACAATCTTCACTTGGGGCATTCGCAACCCACTAGAATGAGCCAGGTTAGGGCAGATAGAACCCCTTTGGCATCCACTGATAACCCCCTTTCTCCCGTTAGCAACCCCGGCGCCCATCCCAGTGCATCTAGGTCGGGCATATCCTCCTACAGGCAGGTCTTGGGCGAAACAGAATCAAAATAGTAAACAAAAAGCCTCAAAAGAGTCAAACCGAATCATCGAACAATCGTCCCATATTATTTTTTGACTATTTTTGAATATTCCTCCTGTAGAGGGACACGCCCGACTTCAACCGAGGCCTCCAAGATGAGGTCGGAGTAGATGGGGTCGGAAGATCGCGCCGCATCACCGATACATCACAGATGCATCGGCGATGCATCGGCGATGCACCGGCGATGCATCGTCGACGTGGGCGATGCAACGGCGACGTCGGCGTGGCGAAAATCGGGCTCCACATCGAGCCGCATCGCCGATGCATCGTCGATGCGGCACAACCCTCCGAGCCCATATGCTCCGAGCCCATCCCAGTACATTTAGGTCGGGCATGTCCTCCTACAGGCAGATTTTGGGCGAAACAGAATTAAAATAGTCAAAACAACTCATCGAGAAATCGTCCCCATATTATCTTTGAGTATTTTTTTGGATTCTCCTCCTGTAGAGGGACACGCCCGACTTCACCCGAGGCCTCATGGATGAGGTCGGAGTAGATGGGGGCCAGTGCATCGCCGATGCATCACCGATACATCACCGAGGCATCGGCGATGCTCGGGTCGGGCGAAAGGGGGGGATAGCAAAGGGGGGGTTTGAGAATCAGCTCACGTAGCTGATTTTCCCGGCGCCGGAGGCGGCTATGTATCGAGGAATGGGCCCCTCGGTCGGGCCGAAACCAGCTGCATGCAGCAAATTTCGCACCCCCCCCTTTCCCAATCCCCCCCTTTCGCCCGGCCCGAGATACATCACCGAGGCATCGGCGATGCACTGGCGATGCATCGGCGACGTGGGCGATGCAACGGCGACGTCGGCGTGGAGAAAATCGGGCTCCACATCGAGGCGCATCGCCGATGCATCGCCGATGCGGCACGAGCCTCCGAGCCCATCTGCTCCGACCCCACCCAGGAGGTCTAGATCAACAGCACATCGGCCATCCTGCAGGCAGATCTTGGGCGGCACAGAGTTATATAAAATGGTCGAAACGAATCGTCGAAACATCGAGACGAATCATCGAAATATCGCCCCCGTCTTATCTTTGACTATCTTTGCATACTCCTCCTGTTCGGGGATGGACAGAACCCCCTTTAGCAAAACGTGGTTTAGTGAAAACGACCTGAGGCCCAAACCTGGCGGGCGCAAGCCTGGAAAATAACGGCCACGGCGCCTTCTCGAGAACCGAAAACGGACAATTCACTAATCGACGTGTCACTGTTGGGGGTTCTGTCCACCCCCGACCTGTGGAGGCACACGCCCGACTCGACAGCACCTCGGCCCTCCCGGCCCTCCCACGGCGCAGAGCCCTCCGGGGCCGCGCCCGACCCTCGGCCGCCCGGCGGCCCTCGGCCGCCCAGCAGAGCGCCCGCGCCGTGGGGCACCCGCAGACGCGGTGCTGCTGCGAGGGGGCACGCGCCGGCACCGCCCGCACCTGCTGCCTCCTCTCCGCGGGGGGGGAGGGTGGCTACACCCTGCGAAATGCTTTAGAAATCATGGGTTAAGACATTCATCGTCTCAGATCTGGAATAAAAACCCAACGTTTCTATCAAAATCTTAGGAATTAAATTGAAACAGTAAGAATAATCGAGACTCTGGCCGAAAAAAACAGTTTTCTTAAGCATCGCCTAAGGTGTACAGTCAGGTCGGGCCTGCCCCCCCAGATGGGGGATTTCGGGCAGAGAAGGCAAGCATACGAATCAAATAGTCCTAGAAATCTCAAACGTAGTAGAACAAAGAAAAAGGGTCCCCGGACTATTTTTGAACTACTTTTGAGCATTCCCCCGTAGAGAGACAGGCCCGACTTAAGGCTACAGCCATCGTTCTGCCACCAGGGGCGCTGCATGCGGCACGCAGAGCTGTTTTCTCTGGCCACGGCGAGCCTCGGCCGACTGCCCGCAAGAGTGACCCTGGGTAAGAGTGACCTTTGGTGCGCGGACTGAGGGGGCGCAACGTGGCCAAACCCAGGCGCGCCAACAGCCGCTATCTCGCATCGCGCTGAGCGATCGGGGGGACCCAGATGAGCCCGCACCAGAGGTCACTCCGGCGAAGGGTCACTCCTACGCGTGATCGACTCGGCCACGAAGTGACTCCGTCGCGACAGCGCTGGTTACCGGCCCCGCCTTTTCCCCCTCTTTGGACGCCCGGAATGGGCACGGAAAGAATGGGCACAATGCCCAACAACAAATGTTATTCCAAACCAGCAGCGGCCGCTGTTGGGCAGGCGGCCTCCTGTCTCGAATGGACACAGGCCGCGGCGGCGGGACAGCGAGTCCTGTTCAGAATGAACAGGAACTGCTGTTGGGCATTGTACCCATTCTCTCCGTACCCATTTCGGGCGTCCAAACCCTCCGCCCCCCCTGGTCACCTCACGATGCGGGCCGGCGCAGTCTGGGGACGAGCCTCTCTTCGACACTCCAAGGCGGCGCCAGCGCGAATCGTGACGTGGCGGATCTCTCCCCACGGCTCACGCCCGCTATCGCCAGGGGAAAAACACGTCTCCAGGTCTGGCGACCGGCGCGAGAGCCAGAGAGAGCCCCTCCTGAGGTCAAGGCGGTCCCTGGTTCAGCGCCTTGACTGCATAGCAGAACAGACAAAACATGGAGAGAGCCTGTCGGAGCTCCGCGCGGATTTCTGGGAAACATGTGTGTATGCACAAATGCTCCCTCCCCGGACGTGCTACGTCCTGTTTTTGGTCAATACGCGGCCGCTGGCAATCCAGACCTTTTCTCGGGTCGGGCCAAAGGGGGGGATAGCAAAGGGGGGGTTTGAGACTCAGCTCACGTAGCTGATTTTCCCGGCGCCTCCCGGCGCCGGAGGCGGCCATGTATCGAGGAATGGGCCCCTCGGTGAGGCCGAAACCAGCTGCATGCAGCAAATTTCGTACCCCCCCCTTTCCCAAACCCCCCCTTTCGCCCGGCCCGATCAATACGCGGCCGCTGGCAATCCAGACCTTTTCCTTGGGGCGAGCTGCTCATCCAGAGCAGCTGCTCGACGCTTCCAGGGTCCTCGCCGCTCTCCGGGAGGCCGGGGAGCGACGAAGAGCCTCCCGTCCTGACTTTTTTTCGGCACGAAGCGATCGGGCTCGGAGCGCAGATCGGAGGGCACCAACTGTACACCCTGCGAAATGCTTAAGAAATCATGGGTTAAGAAACTCATAGCCTCAGAACTTGGATGAAAACCCAACATTTCCATTACAATCTTAGGATTCACATCGAAACGTTAAGAATAATCGAGACTCTGGCCGAAAACTCACGTTTTCTTAAGCATCGCCTAAGGTGTACACCAACACCGATCCTGGCCCAGGATCACCCTGGGCCCAGGATCGGTGTGTATGCCTTCTTGCGCAAGGCAGGCGGGCGTATACACCGATCCTGGGCCCAGGGAGATCCTGGCCAGGATCGGTGTGTACAGTTGGTGCCTTCCTGGCATAGGAATGACGTGTGTGCCGCTGCTTTTGGTCCTGGTGGGACAGAGGAAGCAGGCGTCGCCAAAATCTAGCGACAGCCAGCGCGGACTTCTTGGATCGGCGCCGGACCCCCGGAGGAGGCGCCTGCAGATTTCTTTCATCGCCGCCAGGGGGGGCCCGGCGCCGATCCACGAAACCCGCGCGGAGCTCAGAGAAATTTGCTGTAGGTTTTCCTTGAGCGTTCGTAGAGATAGGGGAGGTCTTCGTAACAACGATTACGGGCTACTCAACCACTAGGCCAGACTCGCCCAACTCGAACCCAAAATTGAAGCTGGGGTTGGCGGAATCGGGGGGGACTGAACCGAATCAGGTGGAACTGCACTGGATTGGGCCGACTGTCGACGACGGATGTGCCAGCGCGGATGCTGAATGAAACCTCCTCCTCCTCCTCCTCCTCCTCCTCCTCCTCCTCCCCTCCTCGTCGTCCTCCTTCTCCTCCTCCTCCTCCTCCTCCTCCTCCTCCTCCCCTCCTCCTCCTCCTCCTCCTCCTCCTCCTCCTCCTTTAACCTAAGGGGCCTGGGTGGGGGGTGGAAGCTCCACTGGGGGCCTCCATCGCGGCGACGGACAGGAGCGCGAAGCGGAACAGATTGTCTCCGTACTCCTCGGCGATGGGGGTTTCGCGGGAAGACGGTCCCCCGGTGGAGCAGCAGCAAGGTGTGGGGGTGAGGAGGAGGAGGAGGAGGAGGAGGAGGAGGAGGAGGAGGAGGAGGAGGAGGAGGAGGGATAAGCGAGGAGGGAGGAGAAGGCGGAAGACGTCGAAAGGGAACTGGGGCATGAGGGAGGCAAACACGCTCAGGTGGCATGGTCGGCTAAAAAAGAGGCAAGCCGAGAGCAACCATACATTTGTATGGTGCGCCACTTCTGATGGACTAGTGTTGTCAGCTGCCGAGCGACCTCGGCGGCGCAGAGCTCTGCATGAAAGGCAGAATACACAGCCTCAAATAACATACCAGTGAGTCCTCTCACTTCTGGCACCCAGTCATTCCCATATATTGCACAGTATATATTGCGTCACATCGATTGCAGTATACATTGCTCAACACAGATTGCAGAGCGTATGTTGTGCCCAATGTATTGCAGGACATAGGTTGCACCGCTTATGCTGGACTACATCGGCTGCTCCACATATTGTTGCACAACATATGTTGCTAGAAACACATTGTTGGGGTCCACGCTGGCTAACACCTAGAGATGGAGAGAGAGAGAGAGAGAGAGAGAGGAAGAGAGGTAGAGAGAGAGAGAGAGAAAGCGAGCGAAAGAAAGAGAGAGAGAGAGAGAGAGACAGAGAACGACAATGAGAGGAGGAAGAAAGAGAGAGAGAGGGACAGGAGAAGTGAGATGGAGACACAGACAAGCAGAGAGAAGGAAAGGGAGAAAGAGAGAGAGAGAGAGAGATAATAAACAAAACAAGAGAGAGGGAGAGAAAGGGAGAGAGAGAAAGAGAGAGAGAGAGAGAAGGAGATAGCGGGAGAAAGCGGGGATGAAAGGGAGGCGGGAGGAAAGGGAGAGTGAATGAGGATCAGTGGGAGAACAGGGGAGACGGGTCAGGAGAAGGAAGGAAGCAGGGAGACGCAGCAGGAGGGGGGATGGATGACCCATGTGGGAGGTACTCCATACAAGAGATGGGGGGGTAAAGGAGGAGGAGGAAGAGGAGGGGGAGAACGGGAGAAAGTAAGGGAGCAAGAAGATGGCCTGAAGCCCAAACGGAGAAGGACACACAAGGGGGGAGCGGAGGAGGCGGAGGACGACGAGGGGGGGGCGGCGGAATCTTCTGGACTCTCCTCCTCTGGTGGAGCTGCTGGGGGGACACGAGAAGGGCTGGGGGGGGCTGGGGGACCGCTGGGCTCGCAAGGGAGAAGGAGGAGGAGGAGAGGGTGGAGCCGGAGGAGGCAGAACACGAGTTAGATGAGACCGAGGGTTAGATGATAAGGAGGAGGGATAACGGAGAGACCGAGAGTTAGAGAGGAGGATGAGGAGGAGGAGGAAGAAGAGGAGGGTTAGAGAAGGAGAAGGAGGAGGAGGGTTAGAGAACGAGAGTTGGAGGAGGAGGGGGAGGAGGGTTAGAGAAGGAGAAGGAGAAGGAGGAGGAGGGTTAGAGAAGGAGAAGGAGGAGGAGGATAAGTCGGGCCTGTCCCCCTACAGGGGGTTTTTCGACGAGAAATCAAAAACACACCAGAAATAATCAAACAATAATCCAACAATAGTCTGGGGACTATTTTTTGGGTATTTTTGTTACCTTTGTGGGATATTTTTGGGTATCTTTTATTTTTCGTCGAAAATCCCCCTGTAGGGGGACACGCCCGACGTAAGGTGAGGAACGGATAGAGGGGGGAGGCAGACATGAGGAGGGAGAGGAGCAGAAGCAGGCGCAGCAAGGTGCGGGCAAGACTTGCGTCCATGTCCACCGCGTCTTGGACTTGCTGGGAAGGTGCGCCAAAATGCCGAGGCGCAGTTGGCACGGATCAAAAACAAGCCTCTGGAGGCAAGGCTCTTATCCATATCCACTGCGCCCCGGGTGTCTGGGGAAGGGGTCCCGAAATTCCACGATGCAGTGGATATGGGTATGCACATTGCCAGACACAAGAGATGGAAGACACGAAGACCTGGAAGCCCGACTTGAATGGGGACAGCAGGCGACCACAACCATATCGAGGACACACCTTGGGGGGGGTCTTGCGCATGACAACAATTGTCGGAACTCTGGAACCAACTTTGTACCGGTTGCGGTCGATGTGGCGTCCCAGGACGGCCAAATCGATCCCATTCACAACCGAAGGGGGTTTACCAGCCTCGAACATATCACTATCCCTAAATTGACACGCCAAAAGGCGATGACAATCTTAGAGATTCGCCCTCAAAACATAAGGGAATCCCTAAGATTGGCATCGTGATGAGGAGGTGCCCAGCATGGGGATAGGATATGTTCCAGGCTGGTAAGTTGTGGCTTTTGTACTCTGTTGTGCTCGGAACTTGCCCTCCGGAGGCGCTCCGGTCCTTTCCGGCGGCCGGGTCCCAGTACAGGCCGGCGGGGCGCTTGTAGCAGTCGTGCTCCACGAAGACGTAGTCCGCGCCGCGGCCGTTGGAGTACTCCTCGGGCGGGCCCTTTGGCCCCCCTCGAGCCGAGGCAGTCGCGCGCGAATCCTGCCCCTGCAGGTCAGATTTCACATGGAGTGGGCATCTTTGACTCTGGGTTTCGACGTTTGGCCGACGGGCGGGAGATCTGGTCTACGGAGGCGGGGGGGGAGGGCCAGGGTCCCGTGCCGATCGGCGGAGCCGCGAGTCAGAAGACGGCGGCAGACCAGCAGGGGTTCAGAATCTGAGGGACGTCAGCAGCGAGGCGACCCCCCAAGGCCGATCGGACCTCCAGGGGTGGGGCTCGCGGTGATCCGCCACGGTCACTCTGGGCACTCCATGTCCGTTACCTCATCCTCTGAGCCTCAGTCCTCACTCCTGCAGGGTCTTGCAGGGACCCAGGCCCCAAATTCCAATGGCGGGGCTTGACGCGTGCCCAACGGTCGGGGATGGACAGACCCCCCTTTAGTAAAACGTGGTTTAGTGAAAACGACCTGAGGCCCAAACCTGGCGGGCGCAAGCCTGGAAAATAACGGCCACGGCGCCCTCTCGAGAACCGAAAACAGACAATTCACTAATCGACGTGTCACTGTTGGGGGTTCTGTCCACCCCCGAATGTCCGTTACCCAATCCTCGAAGCCTCAATCCTCACTCCTGCAGGGTCTCTCAGGGACCCAGACCCCAGATTCCAATGGCGGGGCTTGACGCGTGCCCAACGGTGCTTCCCGCGTGCCCCTTGGGCTCCGGGACGCGCTGTCGCATGCATTGTTCGGACCCCATCAGGCCCCCAGACGGGCCGCGAGGGCCCAGAGACGCCCCCCAAGACGGTCCAAAAGAAAGCCCCAGGTCGCCGGACGATCGCCCCCAGACGATCAGGATGGCCCCAAGAAGGCCCAAGAGGCCTCCAGGACGTCCGTTCCAAGAATCTAGCGAGATGGGGGGGAGGGGGGGAGGGGGGAAATGATGGAGCGAGGGAGGGAGGTGGAGGGAAATCAGTCTAAAGGGGCCCCAGGAAACACACATAAATACACACAAATAACAGGATTCCCCATAGTTTCCCATATTTTCTGGTTTTTTGTTTTCCCCCCACTGCCCATATTTCTTCATATTTTCCTGGAAATCGACGATTAATTATGTCTGTGTGTTTCTCCCCCTCCTGAAACAAGTCAGAGGCAGACAAGCTTGGCGAGCTCGCGCCCTATATGACATCCTAACCCTTCCTCCCACCCCATCCCCTTTCGCTGAATTCTTTTTTCGTTTCGCCGACGCAGGTGTCCTGCACGTCCGTCACCTCCCAAATGACTCCACCCGTTGGTGCGCGAACATAAATTCGGCTATACGGAAGAGTGACCCTGGGTAAGAATGACCTTTGGTGCGCGGCTTTTTGGGGGCCGCGGGGGGACCAAACCTGGGCGCGCAAGCAGCTGCTACTGTTTCGTTTTCAGCCATCTGGGGACCCATCTGTGCCCGCACCAAAGGTCACTCCTGCGAAAGGTCACTCTTACGTCTGGTCGAGAAATGGGGTGGGGGGCTCGTGGCGGATGAAATGCGAAGAGCAGAAAGAAGAGGATGATGATGACGGAGAAAGGTCAGCAGCAGCAGGAGCAGGATGAGTAGGATGACCAGGGGAGGGCGGGCAAGGGGAAAGGAGGGGTGCGTCAGCGCCGAGAAGAAACAGGATGAGACGTGTGGCCCGCGCTAGGAGCAACGCGCCGATCCTGAAAACTGGCCAACGCTGCAGCGGGAACACCGTTCCTGAAATACCAGAAACGCTCCGATCACAAAGCACACACATTGTGCGAGACCAACGCTTGAAATCCCATGCGGCAGCGAGTGAGAGAGGCGGCGGCAACACCCGACTCGGTCATGGGAGAGAGAGTCGTTGTGTCGGCCCGGGCGGCGGTTTCTGATACATCGTGGATCTCGGGGATCTTCTGACCAAGATCAATCCAAACCCGGGTCAATCAGGCCTTACAAAATCCTGTCATATCCTGCAAAGTCCTGCACCCAAGCCCGGGCCAATGCGAAGGATCCTGCTACATCCTGCAAGATCCTGCGCACCCAAAACCGGGTCAATACGACCCTGGCCCTGCAGGAACCTGCAAGATCGGGCGCTCTTGCTGAGCCCCGTTTGCACTGACCCCCGTCTCTTGAAACCCCGAAGATGGCTAATCCTTGAGCGCCCGGCTCTTGTCAACAGCGCAGACCAATCCATGCTGGCCGAGCCCAGGGTTGCGGCGCTCAACCTCGAGCGCCCACGCTGGCGTCGCCGCCGCCGCGCGGGCGCGGCGCGGACGACTTGAACCAGACGTGCTCGTGCTGACTGCAGCCGGGCTGCTGCAACAAGGGACGTCAGATAAAGAACGAAGGCTTTAGGAGGCAACTGTTGGGAGGTCGTCGTCAGTTGGCGGCTGCTACGCCATTAAACCCCATTGGGGGGCTGCTACGCCAGATTAAGCCGCGGACTAAGCGGAAATAAGCCGGATTGAGCCGGACTAAGCGGGACTAGGCCGGCTTTTAAGCGGGATTAACCCGGATTTCGGACCAGGGCAGAGTCAGAATTGAACCTCCCAGGACTTGCATCTGAAAAGCTCCTTGTTTGGCACCAGAAAAGCCTGGGTGCACAAGCCAGAAGAATAACCGCGGAATGACCCGAGGAACAGCGAGCCCTTTCCGAACCCAATCCGATTCTTGCTCTAGCGCCTTGGCTGTGGGGGGGAGGAGGAGGAGGAGAATGGGGGGGGGAAGGAGGAGGAGGGGGGGGGGGGGGAGGAGGAGGAGGGGAGGAGGAGGAGAAGAGGAGGGGGAGGAGGTTGAGGAGGAGGCGAGGGCAGGAGCGAGGGGCGGCAGGGGTGAGGCGCAGGACTAGCCTCAGCGGACCCCCCTGGCCCACCCAGCGCCGCCCTCCTGGCGCTGGTGAAAGTACTTCACCTCGTGCTCTCGACCGTCCAGCCAGACCTTGGCGAAGCCGACGTACTCCATGTCCTCGCGGGACCATCCCCCTCTCCTGCCCTCCCGCCCTGTCGCGTCACCCTCTCCTCCTCCCTCTGGTCTCCGCTCCTCTCCCATCCGTCTCCCTCCCCCCCTTCGTTCCTGTCGCTTCCCCTCCCTACGATTCGGGGATGGACAGACCCCCCTTTAGTAAAGCGTGGTTTAGTGAAAACGACCTGAGGCCCAAATTTGGCGGGCGCAAGCCTGGAAAATAAGGGCCACGGCGCCCTCTCGGGAACCGAAAACGGACAATTCACTAATCGACGTGTCACTGTTGGGGGTTCTGTCCACCCCCGAACGATATAATTTGTTTCTCATTCTCTCTCATGGTTGCCCCCCCTCGCTCAGTCCGGCTCTCTGCCCCCCAGCTGCAACGAGCTGCCCGCGAGTGCCACCGCGCTTCCGGTCCAACATTGTTTGCGGTGCACATGTGGCGCACCTCTCCGTCCGTCCATCCCTTCCCCTCCCTCTTCCTCTGCTTCTCCCTCTCCCTCTCCATCTCCCTCTCTCTCACTTTGCTTGCTTGTTTTTTGTTTTGTTCTCTCTCTCTCTCTCTCTAGTTATATCTCTCTTTGACTATCTCTCTCTCTCTTGCTCTTCTTTTCTTGAGGTCCTAGGCACCGGCTAGGTGGGTGGGACAGGGACTTCTCGAAAGGGTCGTTCCGGAGCTTCGATGCGCACGTCGACGACACTAACGCGTCGGCCTTGGGCTCCAGGACTTTCGTATTTCCGCTCTATTTGGCGATCACCTAGATGATCGGAGGTCAGATTGCCGCGGACAAGGTTGCCCCTGTCTGCTCGTGCCCCAGACTTGGAGCGGAGTAGGAGGCCCGACTCGGTTCCTTGGGAATCCACTCGGAGTCAGCGCTGAACCCGGGAGTTGACGACACGGCAGGGGTAGCGTTCGTGTCAGGAGGTCAGAAGATGAATAAGAAGACGAATAACAATGATAAAATGATGGTCAAGCGTTCCCAATGGATCCCCCTGCTCAAGAGGAAAGCCAAACGGCCTTGGAGGCGCAGCGGCCACGTTGGCAGAAAGGCGTGGTTATCCTTGCTGTGCTGAACAAGCCAAAAGAAGGTACCGGCCCATCGGGGTCTTCCCTCCACGTGCCGCATCTGGGGAGTTGAGAAGGCGAAAACCCACCCCCACCCCCAGTCCCGACTCCATCCCCGAACCCGCGATTCAAGGAGTCGGGACTGGGGGTGGGGGTGGGTTTTCGGGGTCCAGGAATGGAGAAAACCCACCCCCACCCCCAGTCCCGACCCCTTGAATCGCCGGCTCGGGGATGGGCGTCGGGACTGGGGGTGGGGGTGGGTTTTCGCCTTCTGAGGAGTATCGGGAAGGCCGCTAGCTGAAGCTTGGGAACAATCTGGTGCTCGTGGGTACTTCGCGGCTGGAAGACACCGTGCTTTCAAGACCGCGAGGCGCACCGTGCTCCCGACACACCTGCCACCTAGGCGACACACGGCATCATTGGTGGGTGCAGTATGGGAAATGGCCACTACCTTATCATCGGGCCGGGCGAAAGGGGGGGGATAGCAAAGGGGGGGTTTGAGAATCAGCTCACGTAGCTGATTCTCCCGGCGCCGGAGGCGACCATGTATCGAGGAAGGGGCCCCTCGGTGGGGCCGAAACCAGCTGCATGCAGCAAACTTCGTAACCCCCCCTTTCCCTATCCCCCCCTTTCGCCCGACCCGATATCAGCGTTCACGCTCCCGACGCATTCGATACCATTCCCTGGACGATGTGCGGGCTAGACTTCATCTACCCGTTCGGCGCCTCCTCTAGTCAAAGAGCTGTGACGCGAGGCGGTCTTGAGGACTCTGGTGAGGCAGGTGTTCAAGAGGCGCACTGACTGTGACCTGTCTTGTGGGAAGGGACCCTCCTGCTCATGGTCGTGCTGATGCCGATCAACACACCTCATCCACACCTCTTTCTCGACTCACTACGGGTTCGATGGAACCAGAATGCGACGCCAACGCTGGAAGCCCAGACGTCATCCCTCAGGCACCTCCTGGGATCCCTCACGCCGCGAGTTCAGGTGTCGCCACCAGCTTAGACAGCCTCCCCTGTGACGGCGACATCCCCAATCTCTGCTTCGGTGTGATCCAGCAATCAACCCGATCGTCGAAATTCACTCATGTTGGATAAGGTTGTATCCGATCCCTGTGCTGCACTGTGACCTGGACTCAAATCAGGGCGCCGGCCTCAAGATATCAAGTCTGTAACCATTGTGCGAAGTGCAATCTGCTCCGCGACACTCTGCTTCACAGGCTCTGGCTGCGTGTTGCCACTGCAGGGAAAATGCTTCAGGAGGTCAACCATGAGGTCATCGATGAGGTGGTGCTCGAGGCCCTCAATCAGAACTCGCATCATCCCGCCACGTTCCTATAGGCGGTTTCCCCAACCCAGGCTTCGTGCCACAACCCCTGGTCCAGGAGGGGACGTCGGATGTGGTCTTCAAGGGGTCCAGTGCGCCTGTTGCAGGAAGCGATGTCTCGGGTGATCTGGGGGGGGGGCATTCTGGGGAGATGTGGACGGCAACTGACTCAAGAGCATGATCGAAGAATTACAGAGTCCTGGTTGGGAAGGGGCGAAAGCTTCCCTGGAAGGAGACCTTCTGGTCTGGATGTATGGGACCGCCTGGGGCCATACGCTTCAGTCCCCGCAAGCTGGTGAAGTGTGTGTTTTTGCTGCGGCAGGTGAGAATTTAGATGGGGAGCTGTCACCACTACACGACTGGTGGCAGGACTGTGAAGCTCGCCTCAACATGCTCGGGCAAGGAGAAGGCTGGTGCTGGGATGACTACCCGGAAGTACGTGTGCAATGACAGGCGCCCCCAGCAGACCAAGGGGGAGAGGAATGTTAGGTTCCTACCCTCACCTTGGTCCTCTTGGTTAAGGGCAGAGATTAACAATCCTCGTTGCCATTTCGGCACTCTCCTCACACGGTTCGTGGCCCGATAAGGCGCACCCATTTCGCCACACCCCTCACACGGATCGTGACCCAACTCTGGTAGGGAGCTCCACTGAAGGCTCTAATGGGAGGGCCCGCATGGCGCCACCGCACCCATCTCGGCACACCCCTCAAACGCTTCGTGGCCCAATATGGAGCTCTGCCGAAGGTCCTAGTGGGAGGGTCCGCATGGCGCCACCGCACCGATTGCGGCACAGCCCTCACAAGCCTCGTGGTCCCATAGGGAGCTCCACAGAAGACCCAAGTGGGAGGGTCCGCATCGCGCCACCGAACCCATTTCGGCACACCTTTCACACGTTTCGTGGCCCCCTCGTTCGTCTCACCTGACTCGCGATGCTCGGAGCTGCACATGGATGGGTCCTTCGAAAAGATCGGCGTTATGTGTGTGTGTGTGTGTGCGTGTTTTTATGTTTCTCTCTCTCTCTCTTTCTCTCTGTCTCTCCCTGCCTCTCCCCTCTCTCCCTCTCTCGCCATCTCTCTCTTTCTCTCTCCCTCTCTCTGTTTCTCACTCTCATTCCCTCCCTCTCAATATGATGCCACCACGCCCACCGCCAACCCGGAGACGTACTTTGCCGAACCTCTCAGCGTTCGCAATTATTACAAATACATAATCTTGACCGCTGTCCAGAATTCCCAGAACCATACCCACCTGAGCTAGTGCAAACTGCCTGCCTTCATTACCGATTACGTTCTCTCTCTCTCTTTCTATAATTCTCTCTCGTTTGTTCCCTGTCTCTTCCGTGTACATCTGATCCTTTGTGTGTGTATATATATATATATATGTGTACATGCCTTTCTCTTCCTTTCTCCCTCTCTCTCTATCTCTCTCTTTTTCCCCCATTCTCCATATCTCATCACCTCTCTTCGCGGCTGCCTTTCCTCCGCGCCCCCTGGAATGCAGCCGCGTGTGCGCTGGAAAGGTCCCTGCCAGTGTCGGCCACGCAACTGAAAGTCGTCGCGCTGCGAATCTGTGCCTACAATGGAAGCCCGTGCCAAGAAACACCCTGCTTGCCTCCAGGGTGCCCTGGGTGTCTTGGGTTTCGATGATTTTGCTATGGGAAGCGCGAGGCTCCCACACGCAAAAATCAATGGGTGCCGTGGGGTCTCAGGGTTGGGTTTCTTGTGGAAGGTCTTCTGTGCTCGGGCCCCTACTGCATGTTTGCTTCAAAAGCGATGCGAGGCGCTGGGCGAAAGCAGGAGGCACACCAAGAGGCGGGCGGCCGAGATCCGGACGGGGGCCACACGAGTCGATGAGCTGGAAAGGGCCTTCGAGAGCGTCGGGGACATCGGGCACCGCGCCGAGGCCCTCGACGGAGCGGGCATGGCTGACGCCTCCTGCCGCTCGCCTCACACAAGCAGCCGGCGAACTGCCAACACAATTGCGAAACATTCTGAACCTCTCTCGCTCGCTCTCCCTCTCCCTGTGCAGCCCTCGTACCATCGGCTCCCACGGCCACGCTGACCCTCGTAGGCGACCATGTGCGAACCCTACCCCTACCCCCCCACGATTTCCGCGGGGGAGGGTGGGATTCACTTCGTTCGGGAGCTCCCCCTCAGAAATCGCGGGGGTACACCCTGCGAAATGCTTAAGAAATCATGGGTTAAGAAATTCATAGTCTCAGAACTTGAATAAAAACCCAACGTTTCCGTTAAAATTTCAAGATTTACATTGAAACATTAAGAATAATCGAGACGCTGGCCGAAAACTTACGTTTTCTTAAGCATCGCCTAAGGTGTAGGGCTAGGGTTCGCATGTGGCCCCCTCCCTCGGCCAGAACTGGGCTCCATGACCTCAGTCTACGGAGCGGCCCGCAGACCCGAGCCCCTCCCGAGCTGCAGCACAGCCACGCCCCGGAGTCTGACTCTATCCCTCCCCTGCCCCCTCCAAGACGAAGCCAAGACGAAGCTAAAATCGGGCGGGGATAATTCGAGGGCCTCTGAGATCTGGCCGCTCTGGATGATGTCTCGGGCGCAACGGCCCTCTCCGAGCGTTCCGGAACGCTCGGAAAGCGCTCCAGAACGCCCTGGAACCGATTTGGCCTCGTCCTGGCCCGTCCGACCCTCGCCGCTCTCATCTCCATCCTCGTCCTCGTTCATCCACCTGGGGGTGCGTCCTTGTAATCGCCGTACCTCGGCGACACCACCATGGTGCGGTGGCCGCGCACGGCGAACTCGTACCCGTACGACCCGGCAACCATCGCCAGACCCCCGGTCTTGGACCACGGGTTCACCTGGTGGGGCGCCCGCCCGTCGCTCGTGCAGCCGCTGCGCATCTCCTGCCTCCCGGGCCTGGGACCACGTGGGCACACCTCCTCGGCCGTCCCACCTCGGCGCGTCTTCTCATGTTGCTCGAGCGTTCGGGCACGACAGGTGGATGTCGTCTGACTGGCACTCGTCTGCCAACACGACCCACGAATCACTGCCCCATGCGGCCCTGCGCTCCGCATCCGCCACGTGTCTTGCGCACGGGCGTCGCGGAAACGCAGAACAACGACGGGCGTCGTCGCCTCGTTTCAGGACCAAGGACCCTCAAAGATCGCTCTGGCTGGAAACATTCAGCAGAAAGATTGCGCCGACAGCTGCAGTCACAACTTCCTTCACGAGGTCCTTGCAAACGTAGGTACATTCTCCTCTTGGACCCTGCTTTGCTTGACCCATCACAGTAGGCAACGGGGGCATCGGGCAACCGGTCAGGAGCATGCTGAGGACGAGGCGAGAATGAGAAGTGGGACGGCAAAACCAAGACTGAAGAGATGGATGCAAAGGCACAAGATCCTTTGGCCAGAACCCCTGAGGACTCGAGGCCGACAGCCCTGGGATGCCAGGGCAGCCTTGATCAAATCCGCCGATCCTGTCTTTACGTGCGTGAGGAGGAGTTCTGCGCCGACCGTCCCAGGATGGTTATGGGAAACGCTCGTTGAATCGATCTTAACTCATTCCTTCCTGGCACTCACCTGTGGTTATCCAAGCTCGCCAACCCCGGGTGAATCGAGCCGGTTTGTAATCGAGTCGAAGAGAGAGAGAGAGAGCAAATCCGTTCGATCCTTTCCCCGCCGAAGGGGTCCCAGGGGGAGTCCCGCGTCAGTAGGCCCCAAGACGGTCCAGCAGGGCCACAGGAGCACCCCCACGAATGCCCCAAGAGGCGCAAACTCATACTTTCCCTATGGCTTTCAACTGAATTTGGTACTCTCACCTTTTCGGTCGTCCAACGCTCCAAGACGGCCCGGAAGGCAACCACGACCGCCCGAAGACGGCGCGCGGGGCCCCCAAATGCGGCCCAAGGGGGTCCGCAGATGGAGAACACGAGCTGAGCCCTCCTCTCGGGGAGACGTAAGACCCGGGTACGGGGGACTCGGAAATCCCCGACGAGGTCGTCAAAAAAATGACGAGGCCGAGCCTGCATTTTGACGAGGCCTCCCGCTGCAGACATCCCACGAAACTCCTCCTCGTCAAAATCCGAGGCGCGGTCGTCAAAAAACGATGGCGAACCCGAGTCCTGGCAAACCCGGGTCTTACGCTCCCCCGATCCTCGTCAAGATGACCTCCGAACAGCCAGCAGGCCCCCGACAGGTCCCCAAGAGGCCCCCAGAGGCCGACAAGAGGCCCCCAGGCGGCCCCCGACGCCCGACAGCCCCCCCGAGAGCCCTCCCAGAGGCGTCCGAGAAGCACCCCAGGAGACGCTTCTATGCACTGGGGATGTCTCCGGTCCACACCCTGCGAAATGCTTAAGAAATCATGGGTTAAGAAATTCATAGTCTCAGGAATTCATAGTCTCAGAAATTCATAGTCTCAAAATCTTGGGATTTACATTGAAAAGTTAAGAATAATCGAGACTCTGGACGAAAACTTAGGTTTTCTTAAGCATCGCCGAGGGTGCACCACTCAAGCACGGTGGCGGGACGGGCCACGGTTGTTGTATCCGCCGCCCCCTTGTGATTCGCAAACTTTCCAACAACGCCACTATAGGTAGGACGGGGAAGAAGGGAGAATGGGGAGGTCCTTCTCCTCCTCCTCCTCCTCCTCCTCCTCCTTCCTCTCCTCCTCTCTCTCCTACCTAGTGGTAGTGGTGGTGGAAAATCGGCCCATCACCTTGTGCCTTGCCACAAAAGGTGTACAGCTTGCCAAACGTCTAGTTACGCTGGTCCTTCTAGGACTGCGGAACTAGACGTTCTCGCTTTTTCAAGTATCCGACGCTCCAGTGTGGCCCTCAGGATCGCACCGAGACGGCCCAAGAGGTCCGCAAGGGGCCCGCAAAACGGCCCAAGAGAGCCTCAACAACACGTACCAAGAGGCCCCCCCAAGACGGGCCCGCAGACCTCCAAGACTGCCCTGACGCGCCCCAGATGGAGGCGAACCGTGCCACCCCACACCCGCAACATCACATGTTATGTGTTCACAGCTTCTCTCTGGGGCCTGCGGCCCGACGACCGTCGTCATCTGCAGGCGCCCCAAGCGAACGCCACTGACAACTTGCGACGAACATGCAACCGCCGAGGGACGGGAGAAAACGTTCTAAAACCAGACGCGCGTTTAGTCATTACCCACAACTTGATAATACATTGCGAACTGCCTAGGGCATTTCTCAAATCGCGCCATCCCGCACGTGAAACGGCGTTATATATATATATATATATATATGTGGAACACGAAGAAACTCGCGTATAAAACACAAAACAAGTGTTTTTTCCCCGGAACGAAGAAACATGTGCCTACACGACTTGCAAGCCGGAAACGTCTCGATTCGCAATCGTCGCCGCGGGGGCGTGTTGTCTGAGTCCACAAGCATGTCGTAAAACACGTAACAATAATCCTGGTGGGCGTGGGGGGCTTGTAGTTTCTCGACCAATAAGGACCCACGACTGCCCCGAGAGTGCCCCAAAACGGCCGCCGAAGGCCAAGAGGTCCCTTGAAGGCACCCAAGAGGCCCCCATGAGGCCCCAGGAGATCCCCAGGAAGCTCCCACGAGACTCCAGGAAGGCCTGACGTGGCCTCATCTTCTTGGCCATCCTCCTCCTTTTCCCCATCCAACACCTCCATCCCCTTTCCTTATAGATTACCCCCCTGTCGCACCCCCACCCGGTGCCGCCGTTTGCCCCGAAAATAATCAAGGCGCCATCGAGGGCTCTGGGATCCTCGCATCCAAATGGAACGCACACAAGCCTTGTGTGGTCGAGAATGTCTCGCCCGACCAGGTCGCGAATATCGTGTATGCAATCGCGTGCTACTACTGGCAAAGTATCCACTCGCAAATGGTCTGGGATCCGCCGAAGGGGGTTTGCGATCCATGACATCGAAGCAAGCGCTTGTTGTTTATGACCTTTTGCGAGCAGGCACCTTACGAGTCGTGAAACGCGCTCGGTGATCGTGGAAGGCGAGGAGGAGGAGGAGGAGGAGGAGGGGGGGGAGGAGGAGGGGAAGGAGTCGCCTGCCTGAGCGACCTATGCCCCCCGACCCTCGCGACCGCATCCCCAGGAGCTGCCTCCCGGGGAGCTGCCTGCTGCTCCCAGAGGCCCAGACTTAGGAGGTGCAGCGGGAGGCAAACTGTGGAGAACAATGTTGTATTCAATGTATGGAATAAGTGTAAAACAAAATGTGAAATCGCGAAGCGGGCAAAGTATGAGTGTGAAAACGCAAAGAGATCAATGTGTGAAATTAGATGCACCCGAAGAGAGAAGTGTGACTTCGGCGATTATTCAAAGTACAAGTGTGACTTCAACGTAAATCCGAAGTACAAATGTGACTTCAGCGAACAGCCGAAGTACAATCTCGCAGTAATGTTCACGTTCTCAGCCGCGGCATTCTACCGCAATGGCGCGAACGGCGCGCGCTGAAAGCACTCAACGCCCATGGTGTCCGACGCGCGCCTTTCTTGACTCGCAAATTCACGTGTTGGCGCGCGCGCGACGCCAACGGGCAAACAGTGAGGGGCCGAGTCGCAATCCGTCGGGTTGCGCGCCCCCGCATCTATCGAGGACGATTTCTCCGCGCCCGCCCGCCTTTGCCCTGCGATTGCCTTGCTCGTGAAACGCGCGCGTGCAGCGGTCCATTGTTCATGGGGCCAGGAAGGCCCCATGCCGGACAATTCGCTCCACCGCGCCCCCGATGCACCCCTGAACAGGGTGAATCCGAGGCCGGCGAATCGACCAGACTTCCTCCGCGCGGGCGCGCGGAAGGAGGCCGCCCAAAAGTCGTCAACGACGCAGCCCCGATCTTGGAAACCAGCCGCCATGGCAACGAAAGGGAGAAACGCGCGAGGCGAAATCAGCGCGCATACATGCGCGTGGCCGCCTCTTGGTCTTCGGCGTGTCTCCACGCCGGGGCGCAGGACGAGCGAGCCCCCGATGCGGCGGGAGGGGCGCTCGAGCCAAAAAGGCAACGGAAAAGGCGCCGAGGGGAGACAAAAGGGCGGGGGCGGAGAAGAAGAGAGAAAAACAACTTGGGAAGAAGGGGGGGGGGGGGGAGGGGGCGGAGGAGAGACGGATGGGCGGGGCGAGAGAACGCGAGCGCCAGGGCAAGGGGGGAGAGCCCGGACGGGCAGATGAGGAGCACCATGGACCAACAACCTGCTGGAAACAGACACACGGGAGAAATGCGCCCAGTGGAGGGATGAAGGTAAGTTGAATGTGAAAGCATAACGCATAAATGCAGGACCCGAGTGCGCGGGCGTGTCGGGGGCGGGGGGCCAGCCGCGCGCTGCGTGCCCTGCTCTTGCCGCGGCGAACTGGGCGCAGGAATCGCGCTCGGCGGTCTACGCCATGCCCGACTCAGGACTCAGCGCGCGAAGCGCGCTGAACGGTTTGGGCGGTTTACAGCTCGGCGCGCGAAGCGCGCAAGACAATTTGCAACGTTGACAGCTCGGCGCGCGAAGCGCGCAAAACGTTTACAATATCTACGCCTCGACGAAGCGCCCGAAGGCGATGGGCCCTCACCCCTGCATTTGCGTCGTCGCCCAGCCTGCCGGTGCGGCCCCGCCGAGTGCGCGGGCGCGCCGCGGGCGGGGGGGGAAGCCGCGCGCTGCGTGCCCTGCTCTTGCTGCGGCAAACTCGGCGCAGGAATCGCGCTCGGCGGTCTACGCCATGCCCGACTCAGGACTCAGCGCGCGAAGCGCGCTGAACGGTATGGGTGGTTTACAGCTCGGCGCGCGAAGCGCGCAAGACAATTTGCAACTTTGACAGCTCGGCGCGCGAAGCGCGCAAAA